CATATATATCACACAATCTTACAGAGTATATTCGTTATGCAAAATTTTGAGACACATTAGGCAGATAAATGAAGGAAAGCCACTGTGGTTGGAATTGCTCAATCACTTGGTTCTGGAAGAGGCTCTGAGGAATTTATACAACTCATTGAGCAAAGAGGGAAAAGTATGTCAGTGATAAAATTAGCTTTTTTTCCTCAGGTGGTATGGAGTGAGCTGAATGACTTATGATTGATTGACATGATCAGAACTTTCTTCTAGGATTAATTGATCACTGGTTCCACTTGAAGGGCTGTTTGTTCATTTAATACACATTTATTCAACAAATAGCCAATGTAAATATTATTTAATGATTGAGGCAAGGGCACTTTAGTTTTTTTCCTATAGTGTCTTATAATATTGTTTAAACATTTTATGTGTAGAGGTGATATACTTAATGAGAGTTACTCTTGAAAAACAGGAAGTTCTTTTATATTTACATAATACCAAATGAATAGTCATTTAATTCCTTTTTCTTTCATTTCTCACATGTCTTGATGATATCAAGATTATGTAAAATAGGATTTTTGAGTGTATGATGAAATGCAAAGAGGGATATACACATAGCATATGAAATAGAGATTTAATATTTTCAACATTATAAGAGAATAAAGTATCTCTAGTTAGGAGAATCAGGAAGAACATCAAGGGAGCATTCAGGTAGACGTTTAAAGATTGGATATGTTTTAATTAGATAGAAGTGGGGAGAAATCAAGAATTCCGGGTAGAATGGTATGATCAAAGCAATTGGTATAGGATATGTTGGGAACAATTGGAAAATGCAGAGCTGTTTAATTTCAAAAGAGAACTTTATTAAAGGGACAAGAGTAGTTATAACCAGATTGGAAGGGTTCTAAGTTGTAAAAGTATTTTATTTTTTTCTAGTAAAAGGAGTAGAGGCAGAAAAAATGAGAGAGGACTTTAAGATGGTAGAAGTGGAAGTTCACTTGAGATATTAATTTGACAATATTTTATATTAGAGATGGATAGTATATAGAGTAAAATTACAAGATTCTGGAGTTAGAAGGTTATATCAGAAGTTCTTATAAATTATCTAGGGTGAAATAAAATCCCTAGATTTGTATAGTGGCAGGGATCATTGAGAATAAAGGTAGTTTCAAGATTTTGTTGGTATTTGGCTACTGGTGTTTGTGGAATGCAAAGGAGAGTGGGTCAGAGGAATGAGGTGTTGAATGAGGGTTGGTGTCCTAGCATGATAGTGATGTCATTAACAGTTAATGAATTTATAAGGACTTGATAATATTCTTAATTTTCCATAATGCACTTTGTGATAGTGGCAGCATTTCTTGGCATTTATTTGGTTGATGCTCTGGTAAGTGATTATATTGCCTAATGAATATAGAAAGAGGAAAGACTGCAAAAGCCAGAGTTATACAGATTACTTAGAGACAAAGAAGAGCTAGAGATGGAAACAAGCAGGGTATTAAGAGGAAGATCAAGAGTTTGTATTAACAAATTAGTCAAGGAAAGTTGTGTATGAAAAGAAAGTAATCTACATTGGTAAGTGTTCTTAGATGGTGAAGGTGATGGAGGTTATGAAAGATGATTGATTTGGCAGCTTAGTGGTTGGTTAGCTAAATACAAGGAATCAGTTGTTGGCAATGATAGTGAAATCAGGCCATGTTATATTTCCCTCCACTATTCTGAAAGTAGAATCTTTCCATTTGGTATTAATTTGTATTTTGTGTGTGTGTGTGGGGGGGTACACTAAACTTTTTCCATATAAATGAATGAAAATAGTATTCCTCAACTCCCAAATAATCTATCCAATAATACTAATCTCCTTTTGGGGGAAATGTATGACTTATAATCAGTTGCTTTCCTGTGGAATATTAGTAATCTATAGTCTCCTTCACTAACTATTTTGTGTTGGGTCTAGAGTGTGATTTATGGGGAATGCCCTACACTGAATCCTAGCCAAATTCCCCAGTTTACCATCTTTATTGTTTTTGTTTCTACTTCGTGGTAAAAAACTCTACAAATATACAAATAGAGAGGGCTTTTTTGAAACGAGAGAAACTGTCATTTCTTCCAGAGTTTTAAAATTGCATATAAGGAATTTAGGATTGCTTCTATTTTTTTCTGTATTCCTAAGTGAGCCTGGATTTTCAACAGTGAGTATGAAAAACTAATGTTTGATATAAAATAGACTGCTGGGGGCCCTCCCTGGTGGTGCAGTAGGTTAATACACAGCAGCCATTTCAGAATGCATTCTGTTTCTGGCTAGGGAGGTGACCTACATGGTGTAGCGATTCTCTCCTGTCCTGCCTGCAGTTCCCCTCAGCAGTGTAGTCTGTCAGTCTGCCTGTTCTGCTTCCCACTCTGTCTCTGGTCAGTCCTCTTGCCACCCTTGCACCTCTGGCCTGTACACCATTTCTGTATACATAGATAAATAAATCTTTTTTTTTTTTACAGTTTATTTTTACATCATTTTATACATTTTTTTTACCATCTCAGTTGTAATCTCTGTGTGTTTCCTATCACCAAGTCACCCGTGTGCCATCACCATAATCCTGTGCACTTCCCTCCCCACCCCACCCTGTTTTTGATCCCATTCCCCACTCCACCCCCACAAAGTGTCTCTGGTATATGGCTGTTCATTATTCTTGTTATTTTCTCACCTGGTCCATTATACTCCTGCTATGAGTGAAACCATCCAGTAATTTTCTTTCTCTTTCTGGTTTATCTCACTAAGCATGATCTTTTCCAGCTCCATCCAAGTTGTTGCAAAAGACATGTGTTTCTCTTTTTTGGTTGCTGAGTAATTTTCCATTGTATATATGTACCACATCTTTTTTTTT